TTGCCTGCCTACGATCCATCCTGGGTTTCACCAGGCTGGATTGTGTGAGGAGCTCACAAATCCTTGAAAGATCTGGACAAGGTCCCATTGGTGAGCTCCTCCAGCAGGCAAGGCTGCGTTGGCTGGGTCATGTAGCCCGCATGCCCAGCCACCGCTTGCCTAAACAGCTTTTGTTCGGCCGGATCGAGGGGGCTAAACGGGCGCGGCACGGGCTAGAGAAGACATGGAGTGATGTGGTACAGGAGGACGTGGAGCTGAGTGGACTTGCCGATTACTGGTACCAGCGGTGTCAAGATCGGCCTCTGTGGAGGAGGCTCGTGAAGGACGCTACTGGGCAGTTGGAGGCAGTCGCCCTCCAACAACAACGGAGGGCGGAGGAGCAACGCTCACAACAACGAGCGGAGCGCGGGGTGGCTAAAGCACAGCAGTTTGGCTAGTAGGGGGCACAGGTGGTGCATCAGCCAGTCATCTCAGTCATCTAAGTCGACCCATGGCACTTGGGTCTGCCCCGTGACCTCCTGCCAGCGGGCGTTCGACACTTCACGTGGCCTCAAGGTGCACATGGCCTGGCACAAGTGTCGTGGTGACGTCACCGCCAATTAGTGGTGAATGGCGGTTGTTGTTGTGTGTCTGCGTGTGTCTGTCTGCATCTTTCTGTGTGGGTCTGTGTGTATCTGTGTGGGTCTGCGATAGCGCTAACCGCTACACTATCGCTCCCCACACACATCTTTGTCTTTGTGTGTGGGGAGCGATAGTGTAGCGGTTAGCGTGCTGCACTATGAACCTGGCGACCTGGGTTCGATTCCCGCTCACGGCCAACACCAGTGACGATTATCTGAACCGGTCCCGGGCCTCCCCTAGGCCAACTCAGCCTCAAGTGAGTACCTGGTGTGGTTTGTAAACATTGCCACTAGGGAGACAAAGGCGGTCGGGCGTGGTGCTGGCCACCCACCCCCTCGTGTACCGTTCCGGCCTTCATAGGTGCTCACTTACAGCACTTGCCCCTACAGTCTGTTAAGGCTATATGGGGGATCTTTGTCTTTGTGTGTTTCTGTGTGTCTCTGTGGGTCTGGTTGTGTCTGTGTGTCTGTGTGTGCCTGTGGCCGCGAGACGCGCTTGCCCCAGCGGTCTCTTCAAGGCCTCCACTGGGCAGGGGGTGATCTTTGTCTGTTGTGGCTGCGACAGATGAAGCTGACGCGGCTGTGTGACCTCAACAAAACACTTCACGAGCAGGAGACCAGGCTGAGGCATCTGCGCAACGAGAAGGTAAGTTCACGATGGTGAGGAGGTGAGTTCACGATGGTGAAGAGGTGAGTTCACGATGGTGAAGAGGTGAGTTCACGATGGTGAGGAGGTGAGTTCACGATGGTGAGGTGAGTTCACGATGGTGAGGAGGTGAGTTCACGATGGTGAGGAGGTGAGTTCACGATGGTGAGGAGGTGAGGTCACGATGGTGAGGAGGTGAGTTCACGATGGTGAGGAGGTGAGTTCACGATGGTGAGGAGGGGAGGTCACGATGGTGAGGTCACGATAGTGAGGAGGTGAGTTCACGATTCCCGCTCACGGCCAACACTGGTGACGATTATCTGAACCGGGTACTGGGCCTCCCCTAGGTCGACTCGGCCTCAAATGAGTACCTGGTACGGTGTGTATTAAACATCGCCACTGGGGAGACAAAGGCGACCGGGAGTGGTGTGCTGTGCCAGCCTTCATAGGTGCTCGCTTACAGCACTTTCCCCAACAGTCTGTTAAGGCTACTCAGGGGATGTTTGTCTTTGTAGCGCGCGTGATGCTGACCAACCACCCACCCGCTTGTGCTGGCCTTCATAGCTGCTGCTGCTACTCGCTAACAGCACTTGCCCCATCAGTCTTGTCAAGGCTATACGGGGGATCTTTGTCTCATTCATAAGCACTGCTGCTGCTACTCGCTAACAGCACTTGCCCCATCAGTCTGTGAAGGCTATACGGGGGGTCTTTGTCTCATTCATACGCACTGATGCTGCTACTCGCTGACAGCACCTGCCCCAACAGTCTGTTAAGGCTATATGGGGGATCTTTGTCTCATTCATAGGCACTGCTGCTGCTACTCACTGACAGCACTTGCCCCAACAGTCTGTCAAGGCACTTTTATTTGATTTTGGAGAGCGATGGTGCAGTGATTAGGGCCACGCTTGCGCTGAAACCCCATCTACCCGAGTTCAATTCCCGCTCAAGGCCTGCATCAGTGACGGCAATTATCTGAACCAGTCCTGGTCCTCACCGAGGTCGACTCGGACTTAAATGAGTGCTCTGTGCGAAGTGGAATCATCGGCAGTGGGGGGACGTGGCGACGCTACTCGCCGTGACGGCACTTGCCCCGACAGCTTGCAAAGGCTACCCGGGTGGATGGAAGGCATCTTTATCTTTGTGCGTGTGTGTGTGCGTGCGTGTGTGCGTGCGTGCGTGTGTGTGTGTGTGCATGGGTACGTGGGTACGTGGGTTCGTGCGTGGGTGCGTGGGTGCGTGCGTGTGTATGTGGGTGCGTGCGTGTGTGGGTACGTGTGTGGGTGCATGTGTGGGTACGTGGTTGCGTACATGTGTGGGTACGTGCGTGTGTGCGTGGCGGCGCAGGCGTGCATCGAGTCGTCCCTGGAGGTGCTGCACCTGCAGATCGCTCAGCGACGCTCACACGAGCAGCAGCAGCAGGAACGGCTGCTGCTGCAGGCTGACCTCGTGCACCTCCGTGCAGACGGCGCCCGGCTCAGCCGGGTGAGAGGGACCCCCATGCCCCATCCCCTCACCCTCCCATCCCCTCAACCTCCCATCCTCCCACCCACCCATCCCCCACCCGATCACCCCCCCCCATCCCTCTCATCCCCCACCCAATCAGAGGCGACCTGGCCACAAATGTTGTGACCATCACTCGTTGTTGTGACCGTTTGCTCGTTGTTGCGAGCGTCGCCCATTGTTTGTCACCGCCGTCGTCATCATCGTCACCATCGTCGCCGCCATCGTCATCGTGGCCATCGTTTTTGTCATTGCTAGGAGCGGCCCAAGAGCGCGATGGACGCGCTGTACCCGGCGGGCGGTCCCGCGGGCGGTGCCGCCCGGGGCAAGATGACCGCGGAGGAGCAACTGGAGCGGCTCAAGCTTAATCAAAAGGCGGCGGCGGCGGCGGCCGGGAGCGGCGTCGGGGGGGACGCGGCGACGACGGTGACCCCGGGGGGATCGGGCCGACGCGGCCACGCGATGACGCTCGACCGCCGGACCGTCCTGGCGGCGCGGTCGCCCACACGGCCCGCGTCCGTGGACGTCTCGCGGGTGTGTGAGTGTGTTGGGGTTGGCACGTGCCCTGTATGTGTGGGTTGAAGATGGCACGTGCCCTGTGTGTGTGTTGGCACGACCGTGGTGCTGGCCAGCCCACCCCCTCGTGTGCCGTGCCGGCCTTCATAGGTGCTGCTACTCGCTAGCAGCGTTTGCCCCGACGGTTTGTTTGTTGGCACCAGTAGGGGGGCACAGGTGGTGCATTTGCCAGTCTATCTCAGTCAGTCAACCCATGGCACGTACAAAGTAGCACAGAGAGGACGGCCATCCCAGTCAGTCGACACGTTCCACGAGCCGTGGCTTTTCGCGCCGTTGCTACGTTGAGGTGCCGCCATTTCCGCGTCATTACCACTCGGTGGGCCTGGCGTCAACCGATGTGGCGCATTTTATCGCGGGGGAGACACCGTGGCGAGACGGTGGGCGATGCCTTGGGCCATGAGGTTTTGGGCCACGAGGCCATGGGCCATGAGGCCGTGGTGGTGTGGTGTCCGCCTGCCTTATCCAACACCGCCGCCGCGTCATTGCAGCTCACGAAGTTGAGGCAGCGCCAAGACGACCTGGACATCGCCGAGATGGAGCGCGCTGTGCAGGACGCGCCGGCGCCTGAGACGCCGGCGCAGGAGATCGCGCGGCTCCGCACCGCATGCACGGAGCTCGACGGCAGCTACGATCCGGGGTCAGAGGTGAGATGCAGCCGGGGGTTCAGGGTGAGAGACGGTGAGGGTCAGAGGTGAGAGACAGCCAAATCCTGGGTGAAAGTGGGAGGTGAGATGGCAGGGTCATAGGGGTGGGACACAGCCTGGGTCAGAGTTGAGACACAGCCGGGGTCAGGAGTGAGACACACTAGGGCCAGGGGTGAGAGACGGCCAAGGTCAGAGGTGAGACACAGCCAAGGTCAGAGGTGATCCAGGGTTAGAGATCAGTGGGTAGAGATCCAGGTCTGGATTGAGAGCTATATCCGGTTGATGAGTGAGAGGGGGGGGGGGGGGGGGGTGTTGGGATGGTGAGAGATGTGGCGCTTGGCGGTGATGTTTCAAATGCTGCTGAGAGTTCTGGGATTTTGGGCTTACGAGGCCTGGGTTCCAATCAGGAGTCGGAGGTCAGGAGCGAAAACAGCTGGACCCGGGCAGGAGGTCACGGAGAGAGAGATCCAAATCTGAGCATTGTTCTGTGTCTGTTGTTAGGTGCTGGTGATCACAGCCATAAAGGCAATGGTAGCGTTGTGATGTAGAAAATGATTTTGATTATAGCAATGCTAATTATGTATATGATGATGGCAAAGGCAGCAATGATAACCGTAGTTATGACGACGATTGTCATGACGATGACAGTGGTAAAGAGAGCCATGACGATGTCACTATTCATGACCATGGTTACGATGTTTGCAACGGCATTTGATGGTGACGATGACAGCGAGCGATGACGATGATGTTTACCGATGATAACGGGAGCGATGATGTTGATGACGAGCCGGTCACGGTTATGCCCCCTCCCCCCGGCCCGCAGGTGCCCCCCCCTCGTCGCCACGTGACGGTGCCCGAGCGCCACGTGGACGAGGACCCCGAGGAGCCGCCGATCCCCCTGGGAATGGAGGCGTGGCAGAAGAACACGGAGCGGATCAAGGCGATGCTCGCCAAGTCCAGGTACAGCGTCGTCACGCTCGCGTCGTCACGCACGCGTCACGGTGCGTCGCGGTATTAACCGGGGCCGCCTTCCGGTTTCGCACTGCCGCGACCGCCCGCCGTCACATTTCCCCGCCCGCTCCGCGTTGCCAGCGTGCAGAACGCGGCGCCGCCGCCGTCGCCGGCGAGCTGCGAGGCGACGCGGGGCAAGGCGGAGGTGCACGTGCAGGAGCTGGAGCGCATCGTCAGCATGTCGTGCGCCCTCGCCGCGGAGGCGTGCCAGCGCAGCAAGGCCGGTACGGCGCCACCGCCGCGGGCGGCTCGGCCGCGCGTCGGCGGCACCCGGCATGCGGTATTCCAGGGGTCCCCCTCACGGGGTTTGGCGCCTCGCCATTTGTTCACCTGGTCGCCGGTAAACTGCGGTAGGTGGCGCTCGACTCCGTGGTATACCGGACGCGGTGTGCCGGAGCGGGGATATATTTTCCGGGTGACCAACCCGGCCGCGGAAGCTCGGCGGGCTCCAGGCCGCAGCGCGTCAGCCGCAGCGTCTCCAAGCCGCGCAGCTTGCTCAGGGGCGCCGGCGACTCGAGGCGCACGCCGCCGTTGTCGAGGGCGAACGAGCGCACGCCGCCGCTAGCGACGGCGGCCAGGCCGGGCGGGAGGCGGGCGACGCTTGTCGTCAGGCGCAGGCCCCGCAGGCGCCTGAGGCCGCCCAGCGGCTTAAGGAGCGCGGGCGTCAGGGGCCCCTCCAGGGACAGCTCCTCCAGGTGGCGCATTTCACGCAGCCAGCCCGGGACCTCCGCCTTGACCGCAAACTTCACCTGCAAGAGGGCGCGGGGGGGGGGGGCGGACGCCGCGAACGGCAACGGTGAATATCGGTCCCCGACACTGCGACTTAAATACATTTGGTGGGGGAGGTGACTTTTTGGTGATGTCACGGCCGGGTCAGTGGAGCCGAATGGACCGCTCCGACCGACCCACCCTCACGCCCGCCTGCCCATCCACCCACCCACGCACCTCCAACTGGTGCAGCTCCTCACTGAGGAAGGCGAGTGCGCGATTGTCGACGCTCACGGTGCAGTTCAGCAGCCGGAGTTGGTGCAGGTTCACCAACTGCACCACCGCCGCCCCCAGCGTCACCCCGTGCATCGAGTCCAGCGTCAGCACCTTCGGTGGGGGATTGGGTATGAGGGTGAGTGAGTTGGTGGGTGAGTGGGTGAGTGGGTGTGTGGGTCAGTGGGTATGTGGGTGAGTTGGTTGGGCGAGTGGGTGAGTTGGTAGACGAGTGGATGTGTGGGTGAGTGAGTTGGTGGGTGTGTGAGTTGGTGGGTGTCTGGGTGAGTGGATGGGTGTGTGGGTGAGTGGGTTGGTGAGTGAGTGGGTGTGTGGGTGGGTGTGTGCGTGAGTGGGTGTGTTGGCAAGCGAGTGGGTGAGTGAGCAAGTGGGTGGGTGTGTGCGAGAGTGGTTGGGTGGGTGTGTGGGCGAGTTGGTGGGTAAGTGGGTGTCTGGGTGAGTGAATTGATGGGTGAGTGAGCAGGTGGGTGGGTGGGTGCATGGGTGTGTCCACGGGCACCTGTATCTGAGTGAGGCGGTATGTGTCCACTGGCACCGCTGCCAGCTTGCAGAGGCGTAGCTCGCTCTCGCCCTGCGCGTTGATCTCAAGCAGCCCCGTCAGATGCGACAGGGTCCACACTTGATCCACGTTGACCTGCCTCAGCTTATTTTCGCTCACCTGCAGCAGCAGCAGCAGCAACAGCACCAGCAGCCAAGCGTGGATGGATTTTATTTGTTTCAGCAGCGAGGGCCCAATGAGCCGTACCGCCCCATGTTATACATATGTAGTGAGCAACTTCCGAGACACATCGCGTAGAGGCCTTCTTATTTATTCTCACACTGGACAATACGTATATGTAAACGTCTCTACGTGGCTACACAACCCCATCGTCGGCGTCCAACTACACAGTTACTTGACTTAGCGCAGCGACGGCGACGATGAGAGCCCTGCAGAAGATCGACCACGTGGCAGGACGGCAAAGAGAGATGACGGCGAGCGGCGACGCAGCCAGGACTCAGGACCCCCTCATGTACACCCCGGTGCGGCCAAGCCCCGCCTCCGGCCACGCCCCCTTCCAGAATCTTCAAGCAGGTTCCCGGTGCTTGCGGTCTGACTCAGCCTTTGACCTTTACTACCGATACGCCCCCCCCCCCTTATAATTAGTCATTACATAACTTGCCTATAACTGCGATTACCCCTCCAGGCCGACAGGTGACACCCTGTCATTACACATGGACTAACACGACTCAAACAGAGACCCAAAGACTCAACATCCCCCCTATAGCCTCGATGGACTGTTGGGGCAAGTGCTGTTAGCGAGCACCGATGCAGGCCAGGCCAGAACGGCACACGAGGGGGTGGGTGGCCAGCACCACGCTCACCACACAGAGACCCACAGTTTGTTGTCCTAACACCGCATCTCTGATCAGCGCGGTCGGCTCCGTCCAGTGTACGGCGTGCGTGCAGCGCACAGCGTGCTCTGCGAGCGGCTTCTCCTCACCTCGGACAGGAAGACGGAGAACTTGGATGCGTAGCAAGGGTCGTACTTGTCCACTAGGTGCAGGAGGAAGGCGAAGTCGTTGCGCACGTCCGGAATGTCGTCCACCCCCGTCTCCTGGCGCGTCTCCGCGAAGCTGTACTCCTTGAGCCTGCAGTGTCAGCGCCCCCCCCCCCACCCCCCAGCACAGAGAACTCAGCGCCCGTCGACCCTCGTCCTGACGCGGAAGATCTCCCACGAAGCCACTAGTAAAACGTTACGTTTAGATCTTCGTAGCAGTGTCGCCGTCCGCGCTAACCGCATCTCCACGATCGCCGAAAAGCCCGTAGGCCAAAGCCAGAAGGCTGCCGGACGGCGATCCAGTGCCACACAACCGCTCTGCGGCAGCACCGCCGCCCCCCCCCCCCCTCTCACCTGCAGGTCACCACCCAGTAGACGACGTAGGCACAGGTGAGCGCGTAAACGCACATCGTGGTCGCGTAGGCCATCCACATCATGCGGAAGATGCGCCACAGCCCGTGGACGCAGTAGAAGTTCCTGTAGCCCGTGATGTACTCGCCTTCCACGCAGTGGATGTGGTAGCGCATATTGGGGCAGGCGTAGCCGGTGTACGCGAGCACCACCAGCGCCTGCAGCAAGCGGGCCGCCGTCTGCAACACGTATATCCTGTGGAGCCCGCCGCCCGCCTCCGTGTGAGCGCGGAGTTTCTTCACCTTCTCGAAGAGAGCCTTAGCCTGCTCGCCCTCCTTCTTGTCCAGGATGCGATCATCCGATGGCGTCCGCCGGTCCTCGCTCTGCTCCGGGGGGGACCGGTCGGGTGGTGCGGCCTCGCCGAGGTCGACAAACTGGACGGAGGGCCGGGGCGGTCCCGGCGGAGACTCAGGAGGCAGCTTCTCCATGGGGATTTCGCCGGATCTCGGGTCGCTGCGTACGTGGGATTGCGTGGACATCGGGCAACGCGTCATGACGCAGAGATGCACAGAAACCCATAGAGACTCACAGAGACCCTTAGAGACTCAGAGACCCATAGACACTCACAGAGACTCGCAGAGACCCATAGAGACTCACAGAGACCCATAGAGACTCACAGAGACCCGCAGAGACTCAGAGACCCATAGAGACTCACAGAGACTCGCAGAGACCCATAGAGACTCACAGAGACCCATAGAGACTCACAGAGACCCGCAGAGACCCATAGAGACCCATAGAGACTCACAGAGACCCATAGAGACTCAGAGACCCATAGAGACTCACTGAGACCCATAGAGACTCACAGAGACCCATAGAGACTCATAGAGATCCTTAGAGACTCAGAGACCCATAGAGACTCACAGAGACCCGCAGAGACCCACAGAGACCCATAGAGACCCACAGAGACCCATAGAGACTCACAGATACCCGCAGAGACCCATCGAGACTCACAGAGACCCGTAGAGACCCACAAAGACCCATACAGACTCACAGACACCCACATCATTACGCACATACACACGCACACAAAGATCCCCTGTATAGCCTTAACAGACTGTAGGGGCAAGTGCTGTTAGCGAGCACTTATGAAGGCTGGAATTGTACAAGAGGGGGTGGGTGGCCAGCACCACGCCTGGTCGCCTTTGTCTCCCCAGTGGCGATGTTTACCAGGTACTCATTTGATACCGAGTCGACCTAGGGGAGGCCCAGAACTGGTTCAGATAATCGTCGCTGGTCTTGGCCGTGAGGGGGAATCGAACCTGAGTCGCCGGGTTCATAGCGCAGGTCGCTAACCGCTTCACTACCGCTCCCCACAAAAACAAAACAAAGATCCCCTTATAGCCTTAACAGACTGTAGGGGCAAATGCTGTTAGCGAGCACCTATGAAGGCCGGAACGGTATACGAGGGGGTGGGCAGCCAGCACCACGCCCGACCACCTTAGTCTCCGCAGTGGCAATGTTTTTATCCACCACACCAGGTACTCATTTGAGGCTGAGTCGACCTAGGGGAGGCCCAGGACCGGTTCAGATAATCGTCACTGGTGTTGGCCGTGAGCGGGAATCGAACCCGGGTCGCCAGGTTCATAGCACAGCAGCGCGCTAACCGCTACACTACCGCTCCCCACACACACATACACACACACGTACACACACACGCACACCGCCAACCGTAAGCCAAACCGGTTATGAAAAGCAGGGGGATAGAGATATGTGTGAACGGGCTCGCTGCCCCAAACCCACGCGGGGTCCCCCTGCAGGGTGAAAGGGGAACTTTTTAGGTTTTTTTTTACTTAAGGGGGGAAGGAATGACAAAGGCAAGAGAGGGGATAATAACCAGGAAGGAGCCGTGGGCCGTCTCTCCGTCAGCCCCCTTCTGACCTGCAGCTCCCCGCCGTGGCGAGCAGCGGCGGCCGCAACGCCGCCGCCGTTGTTGCCACCCCGTCAAGCGCGGCCTCGTGGACGGCGTGCGTGGTCCACTGCGAATCCATGCACTTGCCCAGCACGGACACAAAGTGCTCAATCTTGGAGCTCGTCTCCGGGAACCTGAACCAGAAGTTTCTGGTGGCCGTCAGGACGAGCGTGTGCAGCACCACGAGGTGCGGGAAGTACTTGCTGATCCACAGCACCGCGTTGTCGTAGCAGAACTGGTTGATCAACCGGTACTGGTACTGGTCGAAGCCGGTCTGGGCGAGTGTGGGAACGCACGCAGAAGGGCAAAGTGAACTGGCGTGGCGGTGATATCGCATGCCCCTCCCTTGCAGGGTGACAGAGCTGGCTCAAATCTGGCTTTCGCCTGATGATGCCGGTTGTAATTACTGGCGAAACGTCACCGTACTCAAGATCGTCAATGTTGTGGCTTTGCTCTCCAACACACTGGTGTGCTGTACTAGGATATTACACTATACACTACACTATATATTACACTATACATTACACTATCATGTACATTACAATATACACTACACTATAAATTACACTATACACTACACTACTATACACTACACTATACATTACACTATACACTACACACCACACGTTATACTATACACTACACTACACTATACACTACACTATATATTACACTACACTATACACTACACACCACATTATAGTATTCACTACACTATACATTACACTACACTATACATTACACTATACATTACACTACACTATACACTACACTATACATTACACCACACGTTATACATTACACTACACTATACACTACACTATATATTACACTATACACTACACTATCATGTACATTACAATATACACTACACTATAAATTACACTATACACTACACTACTATACACTACACTATACATTACACTATACACTACACACCACACGTTATACTATACACTACACTATACATTACACTATACACTACACTATATATTACACTACACTATACATTACACTATACACTACACACCACATTATAGTATTCACCACACTATACATTACACTACACTATACATTACACTATAATGTACATTACAATATACACTACACTATACATTACACTATACACTACACTACTATAGACACTATACATTACACTATACACTACACTATACACTACACTATACACGACACTATTCCTCGGGCAACTGTCGGTGGCGCAGCCGGCCTTTCCGCTGGCAACAAGGTGGTGCCGAGCCGGCCCGAGGGGGACCCTCACTCACCCTGTGGGCCCTGGGGTTGGCCACGAGGTCCCTCAGCACGGTCTCGTTCCACTCCTTCAGATCCACGTCGAAGCCGCTCGGCACCGGCACACACAGGATGCGCTCGTTCATGTTCTGGGCGGAGGCGGGGGAAGTGGGTACCGCGTGACCATGACGAGCGGTCGTCATGGTCACGTGACACCGTGTGGTCTCCTGGAGGACGCCGCTCCACGCAGGTGGTTCACTTTGCGCGATTCCCGGTGTATACGGGGGGGGGGGGCAACCCAAATCGACCCAAGATTCGCTCTCTAGCCAGCGCTTTGAGTTAGCTCGCACGCAGAGTTGGAGACCACGACCTCCTGCGTGCCAGGCGAGGTAGTTAACATCTCGCGGCCACCGTGCTGATGAGACATACGCAGAGTCCAAATATGCAGCAGGGGTCGGGGATGGAACCTATGACCTCCTACATACCAGGCGAGGTCGTCAATATCTCCCGGCCACCGTGGCGCGATGTTATACAATGTCCATGAGCAAGGCGGCGACATTGATGAATGTGCGTGGGGGGGCTCTCTGGAGCGTTGTTGGAACGACGCACCTGCAGCATCCCGGCAAAGATGCCGATCATGAACATGGGCACGGAGAGCATGTCGCACAACACGTCCCACCAGGGTTGAAGGATCTTGAGGTCCTGGTGACCCTCCAATGAGAAGGAGGAGGTCAGGGCTCCGATGGGAATCATGACTCGGGCCGAGACTGCACACAAGCAGACATCAGGCGCGCAGAAACACTCACAGAGAGACACTCGCACAGAGACGCGCACATAGAGACGCACACAGAGACACACACAGAGACACGCACACAGAGACACACACAGAGACACGCACACAGGCAGAGACACACACGCAGACATCAGGCACGCAAAAACACGCACACAGAGACACTCGCACAGAGGCGCGCACACAGAGACACACACACAGAGACACATAGAGAGACACACACACACAGACACACACAGAGACACACACGCAGACATCAGGCACGCAGAAACACGCACACAAGAGACACTTGCACAGAGGCGCGCACACAGAGACACGCACACAGAGACACATAGAGAGACACACACACACAGACACACACAGAGACACACACGCAGACATCAGGCGCGCAGAAACACGCACACAAGAGACACTTGCACAGAGGCGCGCACACAGAGACACACACACAGAGACACACACACAGAGACACGCACACAGAGACACGCACACAGAGACACACACACAGAGACACACACAGAGACACACTCGCAGACATCAGGCGCGCAGAAACACACACAGAGACACGCACACAGAAACACGCACACAGAGACACACACAGAGACACACACAGAGACACGCACACAGAGACATACACAGAAACACACACACAGAGACACACACACAAAGAAACACGCACACAGAGACACGCGCACAGAGACACACACACAGGCAACAAAGACGCACACAGAGACACGAACACAGGCAACAAAGACACACAGAGACACGCACACAGGCAACAGAGACACACACACAGAGACACACACACAGAGACAGGCGCACAGAGACACACACACAGAGACACACACAGGCAACAAAGACAAAGATCCCCCATATAGCCTTAACAGACTGTAGGGCAAGTGCTGTTAGCGGGCACCTATGAAGGCCGGAACGGTACACGAGGGGGTGGGTGGCCAGCACCACGCCCGACCGCCTTTGTCTCCCTAGTGGCAATGTTTACACACCGCACCAGGTACTCATTTGAGGCTGAGTCGACCTAGGGGAGGCCCGGGACCGGTTAAGATAATCGTCACTGGTGTTGGCCGTGAGCGGGAATCAAACCCGGGTCGCCAGGTGCATAGCGCAGCGCGTTAACCGCTACACTATCGCTCCCCACAAGGCAACAAAGACGCACACACAGACACGCACACAGACACACAGAGACACGCACAGAGGCAGACACAGAGACACACACAGAGACACATACAGAGACACACGCACACAGAGACACACACAGAGGCAGACACACACACAGGCAACAAAGACGCACACAGACACACACAGGCAGACACACACACAGAGGCGCACACAGAGACACACACACACAGAGACACACACACAGAGACACACAGAGACACTCACAGAGGCACACACAGAGACACACACACAGAGACACACACACAGGCAGACACGCACACAGAGACACACACAGAGACACACACACAGAAACACACATACAGAGACACGCACACACAGAGACACATGCACACACAGGCAGACACACACACAGAGGCGCACACAGAGACACACACACACAGAGACACACACACAGAGACACACGCACACAGAGACACACACACAGAGACACGCACAGAAACACGCACACAGAGACACTTGCACAGAGACTCGCACAGAGACACGCACACAGAGACACACACAGAGACACACACACAGAAACACACATAGAGAGACACGCACACACAGAGACACACGCACACACAGGCAGACACACACACAGAGGCGCACACAGAGACACACACACACACAGACACACACACAGAGACACACGCACACAGAGACACACACACAGAGACACACGCACACACAGAGACACACACACAGAGACACGCACAGAAACACGCACACAGAGACACTTGCACAGAGACTCGCACAGAGACACGCACACAGAGACACACAGAGACACGCACACAGAGACACACAGAGACACTCACAGAGGCACACACAGAGACACACACACAGAGACACACACAGGCAGACACGCACACAGAGACACACACACAGGCAGACACACACACAGAGACACACGCACACAGACACACACACAGAAACACACACACAGAGACACACAGAGACACGCACACACAGAGACACACACAGAGACACACACACACAGACACACACAGAGACACACACAGACACGCACACAGAAACACACACACAGAGACACACGTACACAGACACACACACAGAAACACATACAGAGACACACACACAGATACACGCATAGAAACACGCACAAAGAGACACTCGCACAGAGACACGCACACAGAGACACGCACACAGGCAACAAAGACGCACACAGAGACACACACACAGGCAGACACACACACACAGACACACGCACACAGACACACACACAGAAACACGCAGAGACACACAGAGACACGCACACACAGACACGCACACAGAGACACACACAGACACACACAGACACGCACACAGAAACACACAGAGACACACACAGACACACACACAGACACACACACACGGAGACACTCGCACAGAGACACGCACACAGGCAACAAAGACGCACACAGAGACACACACACAGGGAGACACACACACAGAAACACGCACACAGAGACACACACAGAGACACACGCACACAGAGACACTCGCACAGAGACACACAGAGAAACGCACACACAGAGACACACACAGACACACAGACACACAGAGACACACACAGAGACAACACAAATGTCTCCCGGTGTAGTCTCCCTGACGGGCTGCGTGAGGCTTACACACACACACACAGACACACACAGAGACACACACAGAGACACACACAGAGACACACACAGAGACACACACACAGAGGCAGACACAACACAAATGTCTCCCCGTGTAGTCTCCCTGACGGGCTGTGTGAGGCTTACACACAAACACAGAGACACACACACAGAGACACACACAGAGACACACACACAGAGACACACACACAGAGACACACGCACACAGAGACACACACACAGAGACACGCACAGAAACACGCACACAGAGACACTTGCACAGAGACTCGCACAGAGACCGCACACAGAGACACACAGAGACACGCACACAGAGACACACAGAGACACTCACAGAGGCACACACAGAGACACACACACAGAGACACACACAGGCAGACACGCACACAGAGACACACACACACAGGCAGACACACACACAGAGACACACGCACACAGACACACACACAGAAACACACACACAGAGACACACAGAGACACGCACACACAGAGACACACACAGAGACACAGACACACACACAGAGACACACACAGACACGCACACAGAAACACACACACAGAGACACACGTACACAGACACACACACAGAAACACACATACAGAGACACACACACAGAGACACGCATAGAAACACGCACAAAGAGACACTCGCACAGAGACACGCACACAGAGACACGCACACAGGCAACAAAGACGCACACAGAGACACACACACAGGCAGACACACACACAGAGACACACGCACACAGACACACACACAGAAACACGCAGAGACACACAGAGACACGCACACACAGACACGCACACAGAGACACACACAGACACACACAGACACGCACACAGAAACACACAGAGACACACACAGACACACACACAGACACACACACACGGAGACACTCGCACAGAGACACGCACACAGGCAACAAAGACGCACACAGAGACACACACACAGGGAGACACACACACAGAAACACGCACACAGAGACACACACAGAGACACACGCACACAGAGACACTCGCACAGAGACACACAGAGAAACGCACACACAGAGACACACACAGACACACAGACACACAGAGACACACACAGAGACAACACAAATGTCTCCCCGTGTAGTCTCCCTGACGGGCTGCGTGAGGCTTACACACACACACACAGACACACACACACAGAGACACACACAGAGACACACACAGAGACACACACAGACACACACACACAGAGACACACACAGAGACACACACAGAGACACACACACAGAGGCAGACACAACACAAATGTCTCCCCGTGTAGTCTCCCTGACGGGCTGTGTGAGGCTTACACACAAACACAGAGACACACACACAGAGACACACACAGAGACACACACATAGAGACACACACACACAGAGACACACACACAGACACGCACACAGAGACACACACACAGAGACACAGACACACACAGAAACACGCACACAGAGACACACAGAGACACACACACAGACACACACAGACACAACACACACAGAGACACGCACACAGAGACACACACAGAGACAACACAAATGTCTCCCCGTTTAGTCTCCCTGACGGGCTGCGTGAGGCTTACAGAGACACACACAGACACACACACACAGAGACACACAGAGACACAGACACACAAAGAGACACACACAGAGACACACACACACAGAGACACACAGAGACACACACACAGACACACACACAGAGACAACACAAATGTCTCCCCGTGTAGTCTCCCTGATGGGCTGCGTGAGGCTTACAGACACACACACAGAGACAAACACACACAGAGACACACACACACAGAGACACACACACAGAGACACACACACACAGACACGCACACAGAGAGACACACACAGAGACACACAGAGACACGCACACACAGAGACACACACACAGAGACACACACAGGCAGACACGCACACAGAGACACACACAGACACGCACACAGAAACACACACACAGAGACACACGTACACAGGCACACACACAGAAACACATACAGAGACACACACACAGATACACGCATAGAGACACACACACACAGACACACACAGAGACACACACAGACACGCACACAGAAACACACACACAGAGACACACGTACACAGACACACACACAGAAACACATACAGAGACACACACA